AGAAAGATAAATTTAATAGCTGAGTGGAGGATAGACTGGAGCAGGGAGAGATATGAGGCAAGAAAACCAATCAGCACCCTATTATAATAGTCCAGGCATGAAGTGATGAGGGTCTGCACCAGTGTGGTGGCAGTGTCCAAGGACAAAAGGAGGCATATAAAAGAAGTAGTATAAAGGTAAAATTGACAAGACTTGGCAACAGATTGGATTGGAGGTGGGGAGGGAGGGAAGAGGAAATAGTGAGGAATTAAGGATGATACCTAAGTTTCAAGTCTGAATTCCTAAGAGGATAGTGGTATCCTGGATAGTAATAGGGAAGTTTGCAAAGGGGAGAGTTTGGGAGGAAATATAATAAATTCAGTGTCAGACTTGAAGAAAACTGAAAAAAATTAGATTTGGTGATTAAGAGACCATTGTTAACTTTGGAAACAGCAGTTTCCACTGAATGTTTGAAGGCAGATTGAATAAGGTTTAGAAAAGAGTAAGAGGAGAAGAAGTGGAAATACCAAGTATTAAACACTTTCTCAAGGATTTTACTAATAAAAGGGAGTAGAGATATAGTATGATAGCTAGTAAAGATGATATGATCAAGTGAGGGTTATTATTTTCAGGATTGGAAAGATATGGACTTTTTTTCAGATAGTGGGAATGTTAGAAGGTACAATCTGATGGAAGAGATGTAGGTTTGGCCTCGGCAAAGAGAAGTTCCTAGCTCCATATCCTAAAGGCATCAAAGAAAGAGAAAAGAACCCATATGTACAAAAATATTTATAGCAGTTCTTTTCATAATGGAAAAAAACTAGAAACTACCATTAATTAGAAATGAAAATAAATGACAATATATGAATGTGATAAGATGCTACAGTGCTATAAGAAATTATAAAAGAGATGATTTCAAAGAAACCTTGGAAGACCTATATGAAATGATGCAGAGTGAAGTAAGACAGGAGAAAATGTATGTAATGACAACAATATCGTAAAAACAAACAACTTTGAACACCTTAACAACAATTCAATTGAACAACCATAATTCCAAAGGATTGATGAGGGTGCCTTTTCCTGATACGGAGAAGGCTCCGTGAGTGAGAATGGGTAAGGAAGAAGGTAGAAAAGATTATTTAGGCTGGACTGCGATAGAGAATATACAAGATGGAAGCCAAGAAGTGAATGGGATTATCTTGGCCCAGCACTGGTAATAATACCCAGAGTCATGGTCCCAAAGAAGCCAAGAGAAGTCTTGTTCCAGAGGGATGGCCCCACACTGGCTCTATTATGTTGGGTTGGACTAAAGGGCTAATGAAGTCCTTCCCAACTCTCGAATTTGAAAAAGTTATGTAATCGTTAAAGGTAAAGGACCTCTCTAATTCAAGGTTGTAAGAGAGAAGTGGAAAGAATACATATCAATAGCTAACTAATGTCTATTGCATAGTTTAAAAAAAATCCATTTATTAAAAATCTCCTTTGTGCAAAATATCGAGAATTGTAAGATAAAAATTTAAACAATGATTTACCTTAGTGCATTTACATAATGCAAGGGAACACAAAATGTACACAAATGAGTAAGCAAAAAGCTTATTAAATAGAAAGTGATTTCATATGGGCAGAGAATATTAATTACTGTGCATGGGTGAGGGAAAAACAGAAATGTCTCAAGTGAGAATTGATACCTGAGCTGAGCGTTGAAAGAAGTCAGAGAGTTCAGGGGTGGGGAACCTGCAGCCTTGAGGCCACATGTGGCCCTCTAGATCCTCAAGTGTGGCCCTTTGAATTCAGACTGAATTGAGGATCTAGAGGGCCACATGTGGCCTTGAGGCTGCCCACCCCTGGAGGGCAAAGTGAGGAAAAAGAACATTTCCAATATGGAAAGGTTATGTAAAAGCATTGGGGAGAAATGACATGTGCTCCATAAGGAATAACAAGTTGGTCAGTTTGATTGGAAAAAATGCTGCATGAAGCCGAGTAACATACCTGGAAAGGTAATCTGGAACTGAATTGTTTGGGCTTTAAATGCCAAACAGAGAAGTTTGTATTTTATCTTAACAACAGTAGAGAGTCACTAAAGAGTTCTGAGCAGGGGTAATGGTGCAGTCATACCCATGCTTTAGGAATATCAGTTTGACCCCTCTGTGGAAAATGGATTAGAGATAAAAGAGATTGGAAGCAGGGGACCCAACCAGGAGGCTATTGCAGTAGACTAGATTAGAGGGTATTAATGCCTGGACTAGAGTTGTGGCACAGGATAGAGAAGAAATAAGGACAAATAAACATTTTTCAAGATGCCACCATTTTTTAAAAAAAACGTTAATCTGGGTAAAATTATAATTATATTGACAAACATCTTTATTTCATTTTACCTTTAATTCCTATAACTATGTAATCCTATATAAGGGCACATAATAGATTTTCCTTTAGTTTATAGACACTATAATAACTAGTTCTATTTGGAAGGGTTATCAATGGAGAGGCAAAGTTGAGGTATTTTAATGAGACCATAACTTCTTATTTGAAGGATCTATGATCCTTCCTAATACAGCAATTGCTGTATATTGCTATCAAGATCTCTCTAGAATTTTGGAACAGAACAAAACAAAAAGATTAAAAAAGAAAAGGAGTGGGGAAAGAGGCCATTCTCTAGCTGATTCTCATCTTTATTGGCCAGCACAATATCCAACCTTTTAATCAGAAATTAATGTACAACAGCTTAGGCCCATCATTTCGTTCTAAATAGGTAAGAAACAATTAAAGTCCCAAACAAAGTTAACCACTTCAACAGCTCAACAAATTAATCAGGGGAATCCTCTGACTAGCTTCTTACATAAAATAAATTCTATAGTAGTTCAGACAGAGAAGAAGTATATCCCCTCTGTGCTGAAAAGGAAGACTTAATTTAGGAAGTGAGATTTAATTTGTGCCTTGAAGGATAAGTATGATTTTGATAAATAGAGATAATTGGGAGTTTATTTCTGGTGGAATGAACAGAAGAACAGAAGTGTGAAGGCAGGTAGATACTTTATGTTTTCAGGTCATAAAGGGTATGCCAATTTGGCTGAATTCATGAAGGAAAAAAAAAGTGGGAAATAAGACTGGAGAGGTTGGTTTGAGATAGATTGGGTAGCTTTAATACCAGGTTTAAGATTTTTTGAAATCATTTAGTAGTGAATGGAGAGTCATAGAAGGTTAGGTTTTTTGAAGAGGGGATTGAGCATTGTTGCAGAGTGATCAATCTTCTCGTATATTCTGTCATACAGAATGATAAGAACAGGAAAAGACCAGAAATCAGGAGACAGTACTATATACACATGTGCAAACATACACCTATATACATATGCTTGTACATATATGTATGATAGGATCATATGATCACAAATATAAAGGGGAAGATAAATTAAAGGTCACTTATTTCAGATCTCTCATTTAATAGATGAGTACTTGTCAATAAAAAAAACTACACGTAAAAAAATCCATACTTTAGACTGTCACTCCATTCCCCTCGTACAAATTAAAGTGAACTTACTTATTTGAAATATATACCTATGTATATACATGCATGTGCACACACAAGCACACACATAATCACACACATACACTCACACACACACACACAGTCACTTCTACTCATGAAAACCATCTCCTTCCCCAAGTTCTTCCTTTCCCAGTCTCCTTTCTCTCCCCCTTAAACAAACAACATTTGCTTGCTTCTGTGAGTGTAATTACAATGAATGGGCACATGCTATGAGTGTAACTCTGCCACTGTTGCACAAACCAACTGACTGAGCAAACCCAAAGGGACAAGATGGGGCTTCCTTTTGGCTAAACAAACACTCTGTGTGTGTGTGTGTGTGTGTGTGTGAACTTGAAATTACCTATACCAATGAAATCACAAATCTAATCTTTAGACTATAAGTAGCACATTCACATTGCATTTTAGAATTTACATCGAACCCTTATGTAATCATATTTGCATGCATACAATATCTTTAAATATCACACTAACTGGTTCATTTGGTTGGAAATATACATTTGCCAATCATTCAGTCAGTGTTCCTTCAACAGTCACTCCATGCGAAGCATTGTGTTAGATGCTGTGGGAAGTAGCATGAGGTATTAAGATACCTTCTTCAAGAAGTGTGTGAAGTGGTTGAGCATGTTATCTCTATCGCAACTATTTACATGCCACCTTATTCACTTTTTTCATCAGAAACATTTTGAACAGTTATAATTGAGTGCATATGATCTCCGGAAATGATCCAAAATAACAAGATTTGCTTTGATAAATTTCACCGTACTTGTCTGCATGATCCATACAATCACCACAACCTTGAACTCTCATGGACTGTGATTATAGTCCAGGCCACGTGTAGAACAAGGAAGTATTTGTTTGAGGTGATCGGGGATGATGAAGGCTAATTTCCGCATTGAAATAACTTTTTCACTATGTACTGAGATAGTTAAACATGTAAAATCCATCTGGTGATTTTTATCACATGGCCACAACTGGAGTGAGTATAAGTAACCATATACAGATATTGGTGTTCTCTTAATCAATTTCCTTATTGAAGGATGAGGAAAAAAGCAGGTGTGAGTTACTAAGAAAGCATCATGAATACAGTGCTGGCCATGGGGCTTGAGAGATCTGAATTCAGATCCCCATTTCACACACTTACTAGTTGTGTCTCTTAGCCAGTGAGTAAACCTTTCTGAACCTTCATTTTTCGTAAGGATAATAATACCTCGAAGGGTTGTGACATTTAGATGAGATGTTGCTATAAAGTGTTACATTGGCTATTGCTTTTTCTTGAAAGTTGAATATAGTTATTTTAGGCCTCCTAAGTGTTTGATAATGACATGTGAGGTTGAGGGATCACATCTCCACTTTTTATAGGAGAGGCAGAGGAATCATGAGGTATCAGCCCCACTTTAAAATAGCTTGGCCTTGTTCCCTCCCTCCCAACTTGCCATTCATTCTATATTCTCTCTTTCTTTTTTTTTTCATTCCACAGGGTTGTATGAAAACTTTCCAACCAATGCAGAACCAGAATGCTGTGATGTCAGATGGGGACTATTATCAGATAATGAATCCAAAGGGACTACAAATATAAATGAATCATGTCACAGGACATCGCTCACAGTTTCATCAGCATCAAGACTGTGCAACAGCAGGCTCAAACTGTGTGTGCTTGTATTGATTCTCTTGCATACAGTGCTAACAGCGTCAGCAGCACAGAACACAACAGGACTGGGCTTTGGCAGCATTACCACGTTGGACGACAATTCGACTAACGAGGAGTAAAGGAAAAGAGAGGTCATGACAGACGCTCAACAGGCCCATGTGAAATGAATAACTGCAGTAAAATGTAACAGGAACTGGGTGCTTTTACCCTTAAATCACTTATTGCAAGGCCTTTGGGGTAAAATTTAAAAGATGGGCCAGAATCCAACTAACAAGGACACAAACACAGCTTTTTATTGACTAAAAGGCTGTATGGTGATTTAAATTTCTCACACCATTTTATACACTGTGTTTTAATGTTTGGAGTTTGGTTTTATCTTTTGTTTGTTTGGGTTTTTTTTTTTTTGGTTTGTTTTTCCTTTTTGTTGGTCTGTTTCTTGCACTTGTTAATACAGGATCTTTATTTTTTGGGATGGTTTCTCAAAGCTAAACTAAGTCTTTTCACTGTCTATATATTTCTAGTCATTGTGTGTGTTCATCTGATAGTTCTGTCTTTTATGTCCTGTCAGTTTCTATTAGAGGAATGGTTGCTATGACTTCCTGGCATAGCAAAAAAACAAAAAAAAAAAAAACAAAAAACAAAAAAACAAAAACAAAAAAAAAATCTAAAAAAATTAAAAACAAAAAACAAAAAAACAAAAACAAAACAAAAAACCCAGAAAAAAAATGGGAAAAAAAAGAAAATAAAAAAAGGAAAAACCTAACTGTCCCTTCTACCCATGGAAACCATCTCCTTCCCCAAGCCCTTCCCTTTCCAGTGTCCTTCCCCCTCCCCTTAAGCAAACAACATCCGCTTGCTTCTGTCTGTGTAATCACAATGAATGGGCACACTCTATCAGTGTGACTCTGCCACTGTTGCACAAACCAGCTGACTGAGCAAACCCAAAGGGGCATGATGGGGGTTCCTTTTAGCTGAACAAACAAGTGCTCTCCATATAAGGTGGAATCGGACAGTTAACAAATTTTTACATAAAATGAAACAAAACAAAGCAAAAAAAAGCAAAAACAAAAACACTATAACAAACTGTGTTGCTCCAGTTCCCATTCAGAGAAGTCCAGTCCTTTCTCACTGGTCAGTTGAACAGGAGCAGCCTTTTTTAGAATACAGTACGTGAAACCAGTTAAGCTCAGCAAAGTGGACTAGTTGGGAGGCCTTCCTTTTGGAGGTATAAGGTTGGCATTCATTGTGAATTACGTTTTCAGTTCCGCAACAGTTACGTAACCAGCAAATATCTGTAATGTTTGGAAGAAGACAAACTAAGAAAAGATGTTGACATCACTTTTTTCCCCCTTCTTGGCAAAGAAAGTAGAAACACTCAAGCACCTATTGTGCAAAGGATAAGTATGATTTTGAATCCATTGTTTTTCTGACATGTTGTTAAAAGTAACTCTGGTTATTAAGGGTGCACAGCAATGCATTAGCACAGATGAACAACCTGTTGTCATTGTTTTTTTTTTAATAAATAAATCAGCTGTTTTCATTAGTGTGCAATAAACAGCTATCCTATCTAGCTATCAGTAGACTTGGAAAAAGATTAATCTGATTGCCATTTTCATCACTTTTTTTTGTGGGAACATTTCACCTGCTGAGTGTGTAAAATTTTTCTTTTTGAAAAGGCTTTTTAGAGTTTACAGTAGAATCAATGGAAGGAAATGTTATTAAGGGCTGTTTTTAAAAATAATAATAAAAATTTAAAAACAAAAAAATTTTACATTCCTTCCTATTCTCTAACTACACGTGGGAAAGTGCACTTCAGAGATGTTTTCTGTGTAGCAGGGAGATGAAGGAAAAATATTTTAAAAAAATGTTCTCTTAACAAATAAAGTTTAGTTACCAACTTTCTAGATATGAAATACTCCTTGGTAACCATTTTTGTTCTGACAGAGTTTAATCCCTCCAACAGAGTAATTACCCTGCCACATAGCTACATATAGTAATGCATATTTTGTTTCAGAAAATAAAATAGATTTCTGTTCCAATCTCTTCAAAACTGACAAAAGAAATAAGCTACTCCTTAATAAAGTAATAGAATTGTTCAGATGTCAAAGTGCAAATATTTTACAAGACTCTTTGTTTTGATAGTGTTTTACTGAAAGTGAGAAGCCTACAGTGATCTGTGCAAATAGGAAAAAAAAATGCACCTGAAAATGGAAAAACAAAAACAAAAACACTTAACTGTTGTTTTATTTCCATCTTTTTCTCCCATGCAAACAAACAAAACTATTTTCATGCTAGGAAACGTGGTGCTTTTTTCTCTGGGTTGCTGAGGATGGGGAAGGGGTGGATTGGGTGGTGCGACACCTCTATTAACATCATTGAACTGTTGCAAGTGTGGGACATTTGTAGAAATAAAAAATTAAAAAGCCTTAACTAGTGGTAGAACGTAGATTTCCATAAGGGCAGGGATAGCCATTGAAAAGTTATGGAGCAATAACTAGGCAGTACTGCAAGAATGCAGGGTAGCTTGAGTCACTACTGAGAAAGCGCTTACCAGGTACGCTCTTGTTCAACTGACCTCCTAATTATAGTAATTATCTTGTGTGTATGGTCAGTAAACAGTTTGTTATAACCTTTATCTACCTCTGCTGTGCAAAGACCATTCAACAGTCCATTTTTTTGTTGTTGTTCACAACAGATCATTTCCATCTTTTCAGCAATCTACCAATACAATAGTAGCAAGTCCGTTTCATCTAAATTTTACTGGCATTATCCAGAATTTCTTCTCTCTAAGCAGGGGACAAAGTGACCAAAAAAAAAAGAGAGAGAGAGAGAAAAAAATCCAGCTATATTCACAGAGTGATATCTTTTCCCTCCCTTTGTATTTTTTTTTAATTATTTGTTGATAAAGGCTTTCTTTAAACAAAGAAGTGGGACAGGCCTCTTCCACTATCTGGTGTGTCTGATGATATGAGGAAAAGACAGCTGATGAAAAAAAAATTGCCATTGCATTTCATGAATAGAAGTATAGTCCAAATATAGAATTACAAAAATTGAGTGAAATAATGGAGGCAGTGTGGTATAGTGGAGAGAGCCCTGGTTTTAGAGTCAAGAGATATGAGCTCAAATCTCGACCCTGTCCTTACTACCTGTGTGACCGTGGGCAAGTCACTTGACCTCTTGGAGCCTCAGTTTCCTCATCTGTAAAATGAGGGAGTTGGACTGAATGATCTCTAAAATCTCTTCCGACTCTAAATCTTATGACCCAATTAATACAGTCTTAATTGCAAAGTATAAATTTGGGGGCAAAAATGAATCCCTTATCTCCACCAAGCTAGCCTGCATTGAAATGGTTTATAAGTCCTGTTGTTTTCTGTTTGTTTGTTAGTTTGTGTCAATTTATTTGGTTCTTCTTATGATTTGGAAATTATCCCATTCCTGGTATGATTATTGCTGTGATGCGTGTAACCGCTCCAACATGGTGTCTCTACTCCAGCTGTGGGTGATGCAGCTCCTCTTGGTGGCAGCTGGGGAATCCTGTGTAGGCAATGACTCCTTTCTGAAATTAAGCAACCTGTAATCATGTATGATGCAAGTTTCATTTCATCCATTTCTCTCATCTGTAATAGATCTCCCAGCACAAACTTGAGCATGCTTGATGTTGTGCACCTATTACTTTAACAAGAATAAATTCACCCCCTGCCCTTGCTGTACCTGTCATCTTGTTCCATTTCTCCTTGTACCGTATGTCCACTGCATACATGATAATGGATACAATATTAAAAGAAATATTTCTGCAAGCAAGTTTAAAAAAGAAAAGGAAAACAAGATTTATTTTATAATCATATAAAATCCCCCCATGTCTATGATTGTCTTACTTTCTGCAGATAGTGAAATTTGAGTTTGTGCAATATGTCAACACTGCTAAACCAAATGTCAGATAACATAACTAGAGTTATATATTATTCCTTATTGCATTTATCTTTGGTAATACATTATGGTGGCTTTTTTCTTTGGCTAAAGAGAAAGGTTTTGGGTTTTTTTGTTTTGTTTTGTTTTGTTTTGAAATACAGTAAGTGAACAGCTTCAACCAACCCAACATAATCAATGAGGGGGATTAGCATAATATTTTTGACTCACATCAGTGAAATGGTTTAACATAGTCTTTACATAAAAAAAAGCATTACACGAAAGGGAGTTTTACCTGAACACTGATATGAATGGTTTAAAAAAACTGTTTTCCCCAGAAAAATAGGAAGTATGGAGCTAAAAAAATCAGAGCCACATACAACCTGAAATGGCAGGTTACATTTGGTACACATGGGTTTCTGAATATCTGGTTAACATTACAATATAGATGGGTCAGTGGTACTGTTTACTTTTGTTACAGGTGTGTATTCTATTATCAATGTTCTACTTACAATAAACACTGCATCTACACATTGAAAAAGAAGACACTATTGCTGTAGACAGATATTTGGTTATATATGCATGCATATGTATATATAATGAGATTTATATCTATGGCGCATCTATAAGTAGATCTATAGATACATAATATATGTATATATATCATCATCATCAACTAAGTAAACGTTGAACAGTGATATTCTTCCTTCACACAGCTTACACACAGTATTCCTGTGAATGGTTCTGTTTTGTTTGCTATTGTTTGGTAGAATGCTATTTCAAAAACTAAACCTACTGTGACATGGAAGACAGATCAAAAGAAACCTCTCCATTACTGGAGGAATAACAATCTGAAAATGACAAAAGTCTTCTCCAACTGCCAAGAGTCAAGGCATTTGGAAGTGGATGGAAAGAGAAGGCATGTGCCACTTGGAGACTGAGTGATCGAACAGCACAAAAATTAAGTGTTAGGGAACTTAAAAAAATGGGTGCAGTTCAAGATCATATCTACACTTTTCACCTGGACAGGCAGGTATCAGATACGTGAAGGCTTTTGACAGCTGAGTATTTTGTCTACACAACACCAAACAGCTGCATATTTAGAAATACCTAGAAAAATAATCACGTTTAATTTATTTGAATAATCATGGTATGTTGTGTAGATATCCCCTTTATCTCCTTAGTTAAAAAACAAGGTTTTTGAAGGTATTAGACTTGTTATTATACTTTTAGTTATCAAAAGATCAAGGGGAAGGAGGGAGTAATCCTTTTAGGTAAAAGTTCTGTGCCTTGTTTACAATGTCAGTGTAGATTTAAGTGCATTTCTCCATTCACCTTTTAACATATGGGATTCTTATAAAAGCACTAAATAAACCAAAATATATAAAAAATACAAAAGGAAATAATCACATTTTAGGACATTTCTTTCTTAGTCTATGTTTCTCTAATATCTCTTCTTTGTTCTAATTTTCTC